TTCAGAAAGGCCATAAAACTCACTTTAACTCTGCAGATTCTGCAGCCTGGCTCCTGTGAGGCAAACATACTGTAAAGCAGCTGTGAGCTGATTAGTCTTCCTTTTTTTCAATGTAATAAAAACACAGGGGTTTAAAGAAAGTAATAATTCAAGACTATTTTGATATGTGAGTGTAAAAGGAGAAATCAAATTTTTGGATTTTATTCAAAAGAAAAACACGAGCTGGCAAAACTACATGTTGTGTGATTATTTTTGAAAATTAGTTTTTCAAAGAATTAATTTGATGAGGAAGCAAATACATTTTCAAACTATTTTTAAGTCAATTTAGTTTCAAGTGAATTTATGTGTACACAAACATTTAAAGACTTTCACTGAAAAACCTGGCAATGTGCATACATAAAAAAGATTGTGACCATATTAAAACGAATGGACAATAACAATGGAAATTAGAATTGAATGCATGCATCCTTATTCACTGTCATAATATTTCAGAAAAAAAGCACTTTTCTCTAAGTTTGTCAGCATTAGATGCATTATACTGTCATATTGCAGAATTCAGCATTTAGATATTTATGTGGAAAATTGTCAGCCTTAAAGAAGTTTAAGCAGGTAATATCATACATGATAGGTCTCAACAACATCTGTGCTTCAAAAGGCATCCAATGGCTTTCAGAGGAACCTCCATGGCTTCCTGTTGTGCTCTCATTTCCAGATTCTTTTCTTTATGTTGGTATGGACTTGACGGAAGAGTTCCTTTCTTAAAGTATCATCTGAACCTGAAACGTTTTCAACCAGAAGCATCTAAAATTCTTATTAATTTTAAATTGTTGGAAAACTAAAGAAAAGGGGTTGGGAAACTGAAAGATTGTCATATGTGGGAGGACCGACATCAAAAGGGGGAGGGATGTAAAGAAGATAAATCAGCTGTGCGACGGCGTGGGGATCAGAGGACTGCAGCTGCGCCACCATGGAGATCCTCAACAAAGCTGACCTGTGCTTTCCCCAGCTCCTCAACGGCTCCTGCAAGAAGCCCAAGCTCCGCTTGTCCGAAGCTCTGCCCCAGTTCTTCGTCCTCTGCTTCATCTCCCTGCTCACCATGACTCTAAACCTGCTCGTCATCATCTCCATCTCCCACTTCAGGCAGAGACACACTCCTCAGCAGAATCCACAGTTTAAGTTTTAGAAATGTGAACGCTCGTATTCGCGTGATATGACAATCCTTGTTTTTTTTTTTT